AATTTACCTTTACTAGAAATAAAGGGCCCGTTAAAGGGTTAATTACTGATCGGTAAGCTTAAAATTTGAAGAAGAAAAAAAGTAAAATTGTCGCCAAACCTAGTGTTAACCACCATCAGTCTATGACGAGCAGCCAAATACAATTGAAGCGGTCAATGTTAAAGGGGGTATATTACAAATCTGCACTTTCGAGAAAAACCAAAAAAAATTGTGTCAATTGTGAAAATATTGTTTTAATTGCTTCCAAATTAATGGATTCTCTTCTTTAGATAGTCCAGAAAATTACTCGGTATTTGATAATCGGTGATTGATATTCCAAAACCAACAAAAAACTTATTTTCGTAAAAAAGTTACATACCTCCTTTTAAAATTGACCGACAAAAAAGTTGCATACCTCCTTTTAAAATTTACTAAAGTACATAAACATTATGAGGGATATTGAAAAGTCAAATCACATTCAAAAAGTAACATTTTAACCAAGACCAAATAGTTCGAGTAGGGATGACGCTAATCTCATTTGCCTTATTTCTCTACTTTTAGGAATAGTGTAATTATTGTTCTATTTTTTAAAAATTCTGCACTATAAGAACAGAGTCGACAAAGTAAAGTGGCGACTTTAATTTAATAAGCAACCGGTAACTTTTCCCAATGCCGAACGGCCTGTGTAGGGGCAATGGAACTGCCCTTGCATCAGAAAGGTTCTGGGTTCGAATCCCGGGCAATGTATGTATGTTCTTTCCTTCTCTGTACTATCTGTTCTAACTGTGGGAGCAACGTTGGTCCACCTAATATGGTGCCCCTAAAAGAGTGACCATCAACAAATCTGCAATTCAGATTCCCAGGTGGGTCATGCTAAAAAGGTGGGCATTGGAAAAAGAAAAAAATTTCCAATCGTTTATTTTATTTATTTTTTTATGGTTAAACCCACTGGCGGTTTAGCAAATGGGTGAAATTAGGAGAATGTTTCTAACCAATACACTATTTCCCAATCTTATAACATTGAAAAACCATTTTATCTATGCGGAGGAGACAGCAAGTTAAAATATGTCTTTTTGCATGCAGTACCGTCAATGGGTTAATGATAAAAGTACATCAATGCAGAAAGATTATCAAAAACAGAATTTTCATTAAAATGTATCCAATATTTTGACCCTTCAGAAGCCATCGTGATGTTTTTAAACAATTTATATATTTCAAAGTAGTAATGTATACATTAAATGTATTTTGCCAACCCAAATATTTTTAATAAAAGTTCTTCAAAATCAGTATGTTTAGCTAAATTTTGTCACATATTTATATTATTTTTATTGTTGAATTAGCTTTGTATAGCTGTAGATTATGTCTAATATGATTTTCTTTAAAACATAAAATTTATTTCAAGCAAAAAAGTGTCCCGCAGTGGATTGATCGTTAAGACACAGTTCCCAACAAATCACCGAAGTCAAGCATCGCTGGCTGCTGTCCGTGTGCGGGTGGGTGACCACTTGGATCAGTCTGCGTAGGGACCGAGGGTGTGCGGTATGGGTCCTCGTTAAACTGTTTTACCGTAAAGTGCTCGACTTCGCGTGCAGGTCGTTGGGCTACCGAAACGGGGATGCCATCCCCTCTGCAGAGGATCAAAATTGTGATGGCATGTCTTCGAATCATCTTCAGGGATGTTTCCCAGACCGTCGCCAATAGCCCATTGCGCAGCTCTAGTGCGACGTAAATGAATTATAACAACAATTACAACAACCAAGTAAAAAAGTTTTCAAAAAGTAGCTATTAAATGAAGAAGGCTAATCGATATCGATTTCCGAATTATTTGGTTTGAGGGAAAAAGGAATTTACCTGTAGCCACGCCCGGTTTTTGATGAACGAAAATTTTCTTTTTTCAAAAGTTTTTCTTTTTTTTTCTAATGATAGGGTAATGCCATTTAAATTGAGAACTAGCTATCAAACTAACGTGATATTATAAAAATAGTATTAATAATTTACAATTTTCAAAATTATCAATTTCAAGAACAGTTTGTTTCCTTATTGTATAAAACTTACCAAACCTGTATTTCTATCCCATTTCCGATGTCATGTGATCGTGAAGTTTGAATATCACGGTTGCAAACTCCGAAGTTTTGTGACAATTTCAACATTTTAGTACAGTGTGAAAAACTTGCCTCTTTATTTCTCGCCTCACGTAAAAAGAACAATGTCACCGAAAAATTGCGCTCTAAGTTCAGAAATGCACAAAACTCATTCAGCAAATTTTTCAACATTTTGAAAAATTACCTGATTTCAGATGGAATAGTTATGACTAGAGCGGGGCATAAAGTGATCCTCCAAATGTTTATTCGAAATTCACGGATAGTTATAGTATCTTAACTTCAGACAACTATGAATTTCTGTAATTATATGTAATTATTTTCGTTCGCAATTTATTACCAATCTCTCGCATCTTCGAAAACTTGAAACTTTATTGATAAGTATAAGAAATCAGATGACCTATACACCTCTAAAGTTATAAAATAATCCTTTTAGTGTTTCTAGAGAAATTTGAAAACATGAAAAACTGAAATCGCTCTCATTATTCCAGAGTAGTGTGTATATATACATACATACACATGCAAGAAAAAGTTCTCACTTTAGTGCTTATCACAAATTATAAAAAAAAACCAGCAAGCATTTAATTTTAAGCAGAAATAAGTTCTAATAAAGTGTTTGGAATTCAATATTTTACTATACTTTAGATTATGAAAGTCAATGTTTAATCTCAAGGCAGGAAAATCCTGCGTTAAGCATTGAATGCATTAGCAGATTTATCAAAACATCTTAGATAAAAATAAATAATAAATCAGTAATGATCCAATATTTAATGATTTTTTTATCTATAACAACTTTTTCCAAACTCTCCCCCCTCCCAAAAAATGTAAAGAAATACAAACTTCCTTTATCATAGAAAGAAAAAATTACTTTATGATATCTATTTATTGCAAACATATGAAATTCAGTTACCCTAAAACATAAGAAAGTGAAATGAAAAAATCCAGATTTCAATTATTTTTATCAAATTAAAATAAACGTTAAAAGTAAAACAAAAATAGTTTAGCACAGAATATTATACAATGGTGGACAAAATTAAGAGATGGAAGACATTTTCCCAAATATCTCAAAAAATACTGAATATAAATAAAGGAAATTTGGTACGGATATAGCTTATTCCATGATAATAAAGTATGCAAAACAAAAATGAAAGTACCATTCAAGAAAGTCAAGAAAGTACCATTCAAGCAAGACCTATTGCCAATAAATCCAATGTAGTCTGAACTTAAGGATAAAAGATGACAGTAAAAGTGAAGCTTGTACAGTGTGTGTTGCCTCTAGTATGGTGTACGGTCACCCCTGACAGACAGACAAAATGCACAACGAGTATGCATGCTGTTAATAAGGGAGTTAAGGAGGACTTGTGGAAGACCCTCCTATTCCTCCACCAGAGCAATTTTTAACTCCAGAATGGTTCTGGGGGGGAGGTTGGCGCATCGCAATAGCTCTCCCAAGAGCATCCCAAGCATGTTCAATAGGATTCAGGTCAGGGGATTTGGCTGGCCAATCCATTCGTTGAATATCCTCGCTTTCCAGATACTCATCAACCATGAGAGCCCTATGTGGTCGCGCATTGTCGTCCATAAAAATGAACTCAGGGCCAACAGCGCCCCTGAAAAGACGCACATAGGGCTCTAGGACCTCCTGCCTGTACCTCTGGGCATTCACGGAACCATTGTCAAACACATGGAGCGGTGTGCGGGTATCTTGCATGATCCCTGCCCAAACCATGAGTCCTTCACCAGCATAATGGTCCCTTTCGATAATGTTGCTGGGATGGTATCGGGTTCCAGGTTCCCCCCATATTAATAACCGTCCAGAATCAGGACTCATCGGTGAAGAGAACATTAGTCCATTCAATATGTGTCCAATTCTGATGTTGTCTGCACCATTCTGCACACGCTCTTTTGTGGGAGGGAGTGAGTGGGATGAAAATAACGGGATTCCTGGCATACAGCCCTCTTTCATGGAGTCTCCTGAAAACTGTCTTACTCGAAATTGGTGTTCCTGTAGCAGCCGCGAGGCCCCTAGACAACTGAGTGGCTGTAGCCGTCCTCTGGCGCTTAGCTGAAAGGAACAAATACCGGTCTTCATTGGCCGTTGTAGCCCTCGAGCGACCTTGTCCTGGTCGTCTGCATACTGTCCCACTAGTTTTAAATTGACTTCACAAATTGGAAATGACGCTTGGTGTTATATCCAATTCCCTGGCAATCTGAGCTTGGGACTGGCCTGCCTCAAGTCTACCCACAATTCTCCACCTCATACCTTCGTCTGAACGATGATGTTCACTCATTTCACCAAAAAACCAGCAAGAAACAACAAGATTATTAAAAAAATGCACTAAAATCTGCAACTGAAGAGTGGAATGAGATGAACAGTTCGATGCGGACTTTTATACCTCCTGCTGGCTTAGTAACGTCCACAAGAATATGTCAACTTATCTCAGGGCCAATAGCTCTACAGTGACCATATATGGCAATCAACTGTCCAGGTTTTGTGCGGTATTTTTAGAGAAATGTGCAAAAATGCTTTCCATCTCTTAATTTTGTCCAACAGTGTATATGATTAAGAAAGATTTTAATGTTAACCAAAATCTAATGCTTCCATTAATTCATTCTTTCGTTATTTAATTAAACGTGAAATGAAAGAAATTCCTATCCTATGTAACACAAGTTTTCAAAAAATTTAAATAGCACAATGCAATGAGAGGTTAAAATTTATAAAGCCGTAATATCTTTGAAAGATAATAAACTGGGCTTTACTGCAAAAACTTTTCAAATTTTTATTTCGTAAAAAATATAATCTATAATCAAAAAATTAATTTAAAGGCCTTATTGTATTACATAAGATACGCAATCTTCATGACAGTAAATTATGAAGAAATATTTCATAATTCATTGCAAATAAAATTCATTTTCAAGAAATTAGTTTAAAGGCTTTATTGTATCACATATGTTACCCCATTTTCATATGGGTAAATTATGAACAGATGCCAAAATTACATGTTCTTTTCCATTTTCATCTTCTGAAGAATTCTCTGATTGATAACTATTTGTTTTAAAATTTCCTTGCTTAATATCATCAGAAGCAGAGTCTTCTGATGAAATAATGGATGGTTCTGAGTCAGAATTTGATTCCTCTATAAAATTAAACAAAAATGAGCCATTAGGTTAGATTCATTTAATATATCATATAAAAGAAATTAGATGATTAAAAAAAAGTAAAACACGCCATTCAATAAGTAGTCGCAATACCGTCAAGTTGCAATACCCTTATCAGGATTTAGTATATGATCTTGGTGGGTTTTGTGTAGGAAAACAAAAAAGCTTATTGATATAACAATTCTAGATGATTGATATAACAATTTATAATTATTCAACAGTAATGCATTTTAATATTTTCAAAAGTGAAGAAAGTTGAATTTGCTGTTATCAAAATAGTTTTATCTATTTATTTTTTAAAAGCTTTTCAGAAAAAAAAATTACAATCCTAATTATAAAAAAACATTATGGTTAAAAAAAAAATTATTTTACCAAATGTAATTTCCCTCTCCACCACAGTCCCAATAAAGTTCCTATGTCATAACAAGTAGAATCTAGGATTTGTGCAAAAAAAATTGTCTCATTTCTATAAATAGAAAATGTGTACTATCTCTAGTAAATAGAAGAAGTTTAAAGTTCAGTTCTTCTTCCTAAGTTATTTTGAAAATTTTTCGGTTTTGACAATGCTAAGAATTTTTCTAGTTTAATCATTCCATTTAGAAGGAGCTTCAATTAATATTTTTCGAAAATGGTGGTAGAAATTTGGTATGTATGTTCGCACAATACATTAATGCATATAGCATGGTCTTTAATGCAGAACACAAGAAATCACAAAACATTTTTACTTGTCTTGTTGTGCATGTTAGTTTACAAAATAGAAGTCAGAATTAAACTTTACATGCCCAAATACACTTTTCATGAATTATTAATAAATTAAAATACATGAATTATTAATCTGCTTAAGAGAAATAACATAACAGTATCATATTTATAAGTATTAATCATAAATATTAGGCATTATTAACAACAGAGTATTAACAAAGGAACATTAATTTTAGAACTATTAAGTATTAAGGCCAAGTTTTTGACTTTCAAAACGTTATTTTAAAATGATGTTATAAAAAGCATACCGCTCTCCCATTTGCTTTTATGATACATCAATTTTATGTATCTTATTTCCGTATGAACAGTGATAAACACAAAAAAAATAATAATAAGCATGAAAGGAGAATGAAAAAGGATAAACTACCTTAGTGATAAAAATTTTTATGTAAATTTAAAAAATTTAAGTCGTTGGAAATTCCATAAATTTTTTTCTTCACTCTATTTGGAGCTGTTTTTTGCTTCATCTGCTATCTTGGCAAAATTTGAAGGTTCATCAATCAGTAGGTATTTTAATTTAATGCTTACATCATATACCAGGCATGTATGGGTAAAAAATACATGCTTGATCAAGGAATCACAATTTTTCCATGGGTCAGGTATATTGCACAATATAATTTTCAAACTTAGCATTAATGTATATTAAGAACCTTTTAAAAAATGAAGTCAAGAAACTAGCACAACAGGAGCCATATATTAATTAAGGGAGAAAAAAAACAAAAACATTTCCTGACTATAACCATTCATTAGTAAGGAGTGAAAGTGAGATTAAAATTTATCAAAAAGTAGTCTTCGTTCAGTAGAAGTAGTTTATTTTTTACCAGTCTGTTTGCTTAGTGCTCAACTTTTCAGGAGCTGCCATTAAATTTCATTTTAAAATATACTGGCTTTAGATCATTTTAAATCCTCCTTTGCCCGCTTATTAATATGTTAGTTACCATAATGTTGGAAAAAAATGAGTTTCCTCAGCTAAATTGTTTTTTTCTGCTAATATTACTTGTAATTGTGAAATGAAATAAAGTGTAACTAGAAAATAGAGTTTTGTGTGTCTCATTGCCAGAATGGCATTGGTAATCAAGGAAGCAGTGTGACTCATATGTTGTGTCTCAACAAAATGCAGGTGTAGCTCAAAACTGTCTAAAACAACATCTGTTCAAAGCCGACTGTTATAGAATTTTCTAACAACAATCATTATATTTTTTTCAGTTTAGAGTAAATATTCAAGATGGGCGATGATGAAAAAGAAATAGGTTACTTTCTGCGGAAAAAAAAAGAACAGGCATACACATTCTGGCCCCCTACCGTCTAATTTCTAAATATTAATGCCGCAATGGTCAGCAAGACCAGTATGGCAGCACAAATAGCTGTTTTCGCTGTTTCTTACTTTATTTTGAGATGAGTACAGTTTTTTTTTTGTTACAATGACAAAAAATATATATTAAGGCTGGTCATTAAGCATCCTGTATCAAAATAATTTGAATCTAATTGTTAGACAGAGGAGCCATTTTTTTTTCCTGAGCAAAAAGAAATTATTTATTACTTTCTATAATAACATGATCATGGCAACATCATAGAACAGCTTTCAGCATTTTACAGAATTGTCCAGACATTTGAACAAATAGAGTGATTGGTCCCTGTTTGATTTTAATGTAAAGGTCTGAATTACATACTGTTTGAGGCCAGAATATATTTAGATTATTTCTGAAAACATCTCTTTTGTCAATTGTTTAGCTTTTTTTCTGTAGTTTTGTTAGTTTTTCCTGTTTCTGACCCAGATAATAATACAAACCTTACCATTGTATTAAAAATATTAATTTAGTTTTTAGCATTAAATTATTTATTGTCAAACCTAAGTCAACTTTTTGAAGCAATACTATGCTTTTAAAATTCTTACTGCTATTTTTGCATCTGTTCCTCCTTTCCTATTACAATCAACAATTACCAAGGTATGTAAATTTTTAACATTTTCTATTTCTTCACTATCAATTTTAATTCCATGCTCAGTTTTACCATTTATTCTCATAGTTTTGGTTTAATTTTGTTTACTTTCAATTCAACGTTTACAGCACAGTTTTCAAAATTAGTAGGTTATGATTGCAAATCTTAAAATTTGCTGGCAAATAAAACAATGTCATCAGCAAAATCTTAGTATTCTTATACAATTTTAAAGTTGTAAAATTCCATCTTATTCCTTTTCTTGCAACTAGGAATACATTTTTCATTATCCAATCAATTATAATTATGAATAATAACCCTGACATCACCCTATAGTTCATAAATAGTTCAGTACATTCCACATGAATAGTTTAGTTTTAATTTTAATAATTTTTTAGGGAATCAATACTTTTTTAGGGAATCATATTTTGAAAATAATGATAAAGTCTGGTTTGAAAATTGAAAGAGTTTCAAGAAAATTTTTAAGTAGTTTTTGTACTTCTTTAAAAAGAATTCAGAATGATAGGGGGTTTTCAACAAATTTCATTTGTACCATAAGACAAAATTTAATAACAAATGATTATACTGTATAATAATCATTTAAAAATGAAACAGAGATGGTATAAGGAAAGGAGAGAGGCAATATGGGGCATGATCCCCCACAATGCTGGTGTCATTTTTAATAAATCTTGTTTAATAGTAGAAAATGAAAATTTTTGGAAAATCCCTTATCATTTTGAACTTTCTTTTAAAAAGTACAAAATATTATATTATATACAATAAATATTATATATTACATTATAAATATTCAAATTAGACTTATTTCATTAGTTGCAAAATAGAATACACTAAAAAATTACGCAAATTATTTTTTTGAAATTTTCCACGCAAGTGCAGAATAAAAGAACTACTTTAAATAGTTATATTTTGTGTAGTTTTCAATGATTTTTCTAAAAAATTAAAAAAAGAATTATAATAAATTTTTAATTGCTCTAAAAATTTTGTTTCATATTAAATGTTTTTGAAGGTATAACAAGAAAAACATAAGAATTTTTTTTTTCTTTACTATAAATGTCTGTATCTCCATAAATATTTAAGCCAGGTTTATGAAATATTATGCAGTTATTGCAAATAACAGCCAAAGTAATCAATATAAATTACAAGCTAATTTCTTAATTTTCCAGCATAAGGAGTTTAAAAATACTTGTTTTCTCTTGCAATTTATTGTTGGTTTCTAAAACCTCTGAAAGTTTTAAACCTTATTGAAGTATGAAAAATTGCATAAACTAATTACTTCTTAAATTGATAAAATAATCCTCTAAGTATTTTTTGAGAAATTTAAAAAAATTTCCAAAAATGAAAGTGTCTTTTCCATTATTGAAGGGTAATGTATATAGTTCACTCACTTAAAAGAAGATTTTAGCTTTAAAATAAAATTTAAGGAACTAAGCATTTTTGTCTATTTAGAGTTCTAAAAAACCAGAATTTACATTAAATTTAGCAAAATTTGAGTTTTGGCTTACAACCCACCTGCCCAGCTACAACATAAGTATTAAAATTGGCCAAACTCAAATTTAAAAATGTGATGCCCGTCACCTTACGTTGTGTTTTAAAGTACACTGTCTGTTCTAATGCCTTAAAAACCTAACAGTTTTTGTTCCTGTCTCATTTTGGGTAAATATGGCAGAAAATCTGTCTTCTTCGAGAATTTTATTTTTTGGAGATGGCCAGTTTTGCAGCTAAACAACAAAATGGTTCTATCTTTTAAAAAAAATATTGCTAAAATTTTATTGCACATGGTTTCAACTTTTATTGAGCTATATATACAAGTGACACAGATCTACAAAGTTTCTGTTAGCTAATCCTGGGTGTATTAAAGATGACAGACCTGCTGATTTCTCTAGCTTTTAAATGAAGAATTTTTCCCAAATATTTAAAGTAGTAGCAAACATTACGCTTTTTACATTCTGTTTAAATAATTTATTCAACTTGTTATTTCAATTTTAAAACAAAAATACAAATAAAAGTCTTGTGTCTTGTTTTTCAAGCTCCAAATAATATATGATGTTATTAGGGGTTAATGAAAATTGAAAACATTTTGCTTGTTAAAGTATTATTTCACAGCCATTTTTAATGTTACAGGACTTTCAGGTTGGTATCCTCTTGAATGATTTAGTTATAAAAATATGCACATGAAAATATTTTTAGACAAGAATGTAATAAGCAGAAATTAAAAAAGTTGATTTTATTTATTATAACAATAACCCTAAAATATTCATTTTTCTCAAAAATATACGATTTCTGTAAAATTGTGTATAAAATAAGTTAAACTGACAAAGTATTTATATGGGCATATTGGAATTATTACACTACCAAAAATTAACATTTAAAACAGGGCTGTTAATCAAAAAGGAAAAACAAAATATTAAAACTTCTTAATACAATGTTTTGCACAAATTTTACATCAATACAAAATAATGCCAGTAAAGATTGAATTAGTAAAAGATTAAATTATAATAATTAAATGCATCCTGACATTTTAGATACAAAGGGTGAAAATGTTATCTGTTTTGAGTTGTATAGTGAGCCCACTAAGATTTTGCTAGTAGGTAAAGTTAAACAAAAATGTATGACTTTAAAATGTTATTACCATAGATCCCGGTATATAAGTCAACTATACAAAGTGCCAAAATTTTTACAAAAATAGAGGTTCAACATATACACCAATAGTAAAAACAGACATTGGTTGATTGTGAAATATTGATACATTATAAACAATGAGATAGATATGAACAAAAAGAACATTTCTTTAAACTTAAAGATTCTTTTTAGAAACAATACTTCAAGTTAGATTCAGAAATAAAATGAAAATAAGACAAGTTATGATAATTAATTCAAGTGTACTTAAAAAGAATATTCTACAACACAATGAAAACTTTTAAAACATTCCACAAAGCTACAAAGTCAAAAATTCCAGAGCGTCATCTGTGTTGGATTCAATAACGTAACAGTGATGTCATATGGATCCCACTCTGCAACGGATTCTAATTCAACATCATCTTTTACACTTTTTCTACGATTTTACAATAACATTTGAATTTACATTTCCCCACCTGTCTATTATCATTTATCATTTGCTCCATCTATTACCATTTATCACTTGATGCGTCTAGTATCATTATTTGAGAGGATGCCTTATAGCAAATTTATTTGAGGGCAAATGTATCATATCCAAAGAGAATAATGTGAAATATTTTTAACTTGAGAAAATTTTGTAGAGTTAACAATATTTTATATTTTTAATTTTAGAAATTTGCATACCTGATTTATTTTTAGTTGTAACTTAAACACCCAAAGAAAAAAAACCCTCAGAAATTTGCTATCTCGTGATCGAAAATAGGAGATTGACTGATACACCGGGATATATAGTAATTAATATTTTATCCCAACTTACCAGCAACACTAACATCAGTTTCTTTTACTTCATGCTCTTCAGGAATCAGGGCTTCTGACACAGAGTTCTGTATGTCAGATCTTACAGACAAATTTTCTTCAATATCTTCATCAAATTTAACACTAGTTTCTGACCTTATTGAGATATTAGAGCCATCTAACTGTGATGAACTATTCTATATAAGAAAGGACGTAAACATTTATTTATTGAGGAAAGGGCAATAAAAAAATTAGGAAATTGAAGCATTTTTTAGAGAAAAAAATATCATTTTTAATTAACTTATTAACATAATCACATTGTTTATCATTGTTTTTTATACTAAATTAGAAGAAAGCAGTGTAGTGCTACAAGTAGAGCAAAAGCATTAAGTTAGTTCTCTTCCCAGGATGAAAAAAATAAAAATTAATCATGTTTTTCTTCTTTACATCAAATTATTGAATGGGTATCAATAGTTTTAGATATGTAAAGAAAGGTTACAATTTTCCAGATTTTTATGATATACAATTTTAACATTATCTGTATACTTATGACATGTGTATATTTATTATAGATCAATTCTTCATTTCTTAACTACTTCATAAGAGGGTGAAAGTTTGTAGTAAGTTAAATTGACAGCAGGTTTCATGTAGTTTTAAGAGCAAGTTAAAACTCTAGACGTTTTATGAAAAGAAGAAAAATAGATTGGCAAATTTTACACCTCAAGTTACAAAGGAAGAAATACTATAAGCAGTGGCATTGTTAGAAAAATTCTCAACAGAGTCTTAATATAAATAGGTATAAAATCCATAAATTTTCAATAAAATACAATAAATAATAAGTTTAAATAAGAAAACTTTTAAATTATAAACGACAGTAAAGCCTCCTAACACTATGCCAATGTTACCGGTGTTAAAAGGCGGCCACTATTCAAAGTTTGTTATTCAAAAAAGAAAGAAAAAACGATATCAAACAACAAAAAGGTTTAAAAAAAAGCATTATGACGTAAAAAGGAACTTGAATAGTAAATTTAACTATATCTTATTACTTTATAGTCAACATTTACAAAAAATCAGTTATTTGTAGCTATTTTTTTATTTTTAAAAACACATGTTTTTCCTTCAAATTACTGACAATGTCAATAGTTTTATCTTACAGTTCATTACCATTATTGAGAGCAAAAGTCTGAATGTGGCTAGAATTTTTCAGTACAGTGAGTCAAAAAGGTTTCTGTACACTATGAGGTTCTAAAAAAAATAACATTAAAAATATTCTTAATTTACGGAAATAATTTTTCTACTGAAATTTAGGTTTTGTCAAGTTATAACAATATTGAAACACATTTATATTTCTTAAAATTCATGTTAGACAATATCAAACAACAGTAAAATAATTTTATTTATTCAAGTTCTTGCTCTGAAATGGGTATCTATACGCTCGTGTCTCAGTATAAACTTATAAATACATTATGAGTTAATCAAGGTTGTCAAGACTTGAATTTTTATGGTAAACAACATTTCAAGGAAATTTAAAGTTATTTCTATGTTGTTCAAAGTTGTCGTAACTAGTTGAAACTTGCATTTCAATGAAAAATAATGTTTCAAGGCAGTAAAAAAGTTTTATAACATGAATATAAATACCGAGAAAAATTTTCATATTGTTTAAGGTCGTTGTACCTTGTTCAAACTAGTCAAAAGCTGCATGTTGAAATTTAAAGATATTTTAATATTGTACACGGTTGTTGTAACTTGTCAAAATGTGAATTTTTATAGAAAATAATGTTGTAAAGTTATTTTAGCTTTTCAAAGCAGGAAATCGAATAAATAAAGTTATTTCACTGCTGTTTAAGATTGTCTAACATGAATTTTAAAAAATATAAATGTCTTTCAATATTGTTGTAACTTGCTAAAACTTAAATTTTAATAGAAAAATTATTTTAGGGAGCTGAAAAATTTACAAATTGATTTCTTTTAATTTATTCAGTTCATTAATTTCTTCTGCTTTCTTTTTCATATGGCCGCTAGCTCCTTTTGCCTCTGCTTTGTTTTCAATCAATTCTTTTATTGTGTCATACATAGAAAAAAATGTATCAACATATACAAAATCACTAAGAAGCATATGTTTGACTCCAACTGATGTAAATATTTGAGTTCTTCTTTGTCTTCCTCACTTCCAGTTATTTCACTCAGCGATTAGATCTCAGAGGAAATTTTGAATCCTGCTTTAAAAAAGGGTTTCTGAACAATTTCAAGTTTCACTTTTTTGATGGCCATACTAATTCACTTCACTGCATCCAAGACATTTAACTATATAGTAAATCCAACTACAGATGCAGATTTTGGCTAAAAAGAAACAAATTTTCTGATTTGCATCTTGCTTTATAGTATCTTAAAGGCCTGGATTATACCTTGATTTAGTGGTTGATAATGGGTGCTTGTAGGCAGAAACACAGCTTTAACATCACTGAAAATTTTATCTGCTGGATATTTAGCATTATCCAAAAAAAGAAAAACATATTTCTTTTTTTCTTTCTTTAGTTGCTTATTTAGTTCCAAAAGTCATTTGGTCATAATCAACTGTATTATCTAAGACTTGCAATTACTTCAACAGATGACAAGAAGTTTAAATAAACTTGTTTTTGAAACATCACGGTTTGGCTGCTTTTCCAATAACGAGTGTCTTTTGGAAATCTTCAGCCATACTGCAGCATAAGAGAACAATCAAGCATTCGTTTTTGAATATTTCTCATCTTCACATAAATCACAACGTTTTGTCCAAAATAGTCTGAAAAAGCAATCCCTTCTTGTCACAATTTTAGACGTTTTGAGCATCAAAATCAGCAATTATCTGCTGAAAAGTTTTACTCCAGCAATTTGCTTTTTCTATAGCATTAACTACTGCTTCTTCATTTAGAATATGGTAGACGATGTTGTGTCTTAATCTAAATTTTTCCAGCCATCTCAAATTTTTCCATTTGATGCTTTAAACTTTTCTATCCCTAACTTTATTGCAATTTGCAGAGCATTTTCAAGTAAAATTGGTCCAGAAATTGACAAATCTTTTGTAGGGCAATTAGTTAACCAATCAAGCAGAATTCCATCCAGAATTTTGCTGCCTGTCTTACGCAGCTTGATTTTTTAATCCAATTTAATCCACTAAAATACTGATCACTTCTTTTTAAAGATGCCGCTGATTTGCGCTTTTTCACAGCCATTTAGTCCAGGTAACTTTTGCGTGCTTATTCAATTTTTAACTATACTCAATAACTTTAATTTTATCCTTTCATGTAAAACATTTTTATTTGAGATTAACATTCATATTTTCATTATTCACATATTAAAGTTCAAACTCAGACTACCACTCTTAAAGTCTTTAAAATATGAATAAACAAAATGATATCGCTCAACAAATATTGGTCAGGTGTATGCACACATTGCTTCTTTCATGCACGAGCTAGCACTTTCTACAAACTGCTTAAATTGAAAACTGACCAATGAAACATCAAGAATAAAGACTCATATTGTATGTTAGAACAAGATACCTGTGATTCCTACAGACCACCCATGAAAGATGCACCTTATCTGTAGTAGACTGAATTGAACTGTCAAATATATGATTAACTATTGTAGAGATACCTAAAAACTGTTTACAATGACATGAATGAGATGATCAATGGAAAAAATAATCAGTTAAAATTATTATTGTAGACAAGAGATGAAAAAAGTTGACTAAGTTACACCCTGATACAAAATTTATGCCAACAATGAGTGGTCTGGTCATTGTTCAGAAATCGCTGTTCAGAGGTTTCTCATTATGTAAAACTTGTAATATGTGGTACCATAAACATATGATTATTCTTCAGGAGTTACTATTGTTTAAAGGTGATCCTTAAAGGAAGTTTTACTGCATTTATAACTTTAATCACTGAATTATTTATATCTATTAACCAAGGCTAAAAACAATTGTGTCATATGCAAAATATTTTATAGAGTGGTAGACAATTAAAAACTAAAGCTTTTAGAACTTTTGCCAACATTTTGAAAGCCTAACCACAAAAGATCTGGAACGCATTTAATATGTAATGTTGAATGATTTTTATGCAGTAGTTTGGAAAATAACTATAAATCAAATATATATAAAACAAAGAATTATGTGTCAAAACAAAGTTAGCTACCTCTAGTAGAAATATTACCGAAAAGCAAAGAAAGCAGGCAACCCTTTTATAAACTGACAAGTAAGGGAGAAAGGGTTACTGAGTACAATATTTACAAATTTACTTAATATTTCTAGAACAATTGTACAACTACCTATTATTCTTTTTATGAAAATTTGAAGTGTTCTTTATCTATAATCATACATAATGGACTTACCTATTTTAATTATTGGAATATTTTGATCATATTTTTAACTATTGGTATGTTCAGATAAGTAAAAATTGCGCGTCTTTTTTCCATGATCATCAAGCAATTAGTATTTGGTGACATATTGCAGTCACTTGATACATCAAGATAGAAGAAATGAGCAACAGAAACATTTGCTTATTTTAATACTTCAAGATGTTAAAGGAAAATACTTGTGTCATTAATTTTTGTAAGGACACTTTTTTACCATAGTTTCTTATAAATCATATCTCTTTTCTAATCTATTTTCTATCATATCTGATTTCAATCTATTGGTATCTAATCTATTGGTAGCTACAGAATTAATGCTTAAGGATAATTCTTGGAACAGTTTTTGACCCTTAAAATCCCCTCTTAGTAATGCAATTGGCCGCAAACTGTGGATATATTAAGTGGAAAAATTAAACAATTTGTTCAAAAACATTAGAAATTAATCTAAAATTATTATTTTTTTTTATCAAAAATGCAATGAACCTATTAATATTGTTGACTTAAACAAATAACAATGAATTCTTCTGTCAAATGTATTTTGTGTAAAATGGTTTTTAAAAGAAAACAATTTACAAATTAAAATTTTATAACATACAATTTTTTTCCTTAATTACATTAATGATAAACGTGATTCTTGATAATAAACTTGATGGATTCTTGGAAAATGGATTCTTCATAAATCAAACCTTTCTCCTGTCCTCTTAATTTTGAAATTTCAAGTTTTGACTCACTCATAATATGATTCATAGTTGTACAAATAGCAAATCTTGCATATAGATTTGTATTTCAAACCAATAACAGTAAGCCATATTTTGCAGAAAAAATGTTTTAAAAACAAACAAGTTATAATGTAACAACTTTTAATGTGAACAAACTCATTGTCTCATTCCATCTTTTACATTAGATCATTGACATTGCCTCTTTAATGGCTTTAATAACAAAATTTAAATAGCCCTCGCCACATTGTGCTTTCACTGTATATGAAAAACTATATATGAACAACTATATCTTACCAAAATATATAAAATACTAAAATTAAATTCATACACTTACTTCAATATCATGAATAACTTCCTTAGTACTTTCTAACTCTGAAAATATGAAACACTAAAATTAAATGAAAGTTAACATTTTAACAAAATGAAATTTTATTTCTATTTTATGGTACACAGTCTCAATTGAGTTTGAATAACATGTTTCAGATTTGTTGGCAAAGTTTCACACATAGTGAATTTGGTGGAATATGATTTTTGTTTTCAATTATGATTAAGTGCAAGTTTAATGAAAAGTCACAACAAAGATTTAACAAAGATAGGTAGCTGAAACATGCTAAAGTAGGCTATTGATAATCTCTGTATAATCTGGAAATAGGGAGAAAGCGTAACTTGGTCATGTACCACATTACTCATATAAAGCATGAAGGTATTGAAAAACAGTGACTCCCATCTGGTGGTCCACAGTTCTTTATACAGGTCATTAAAAATTAGTCTGAATCAATAAAAAACTAATTTCCATAATTAAATTAACTTTAATTAAAAAAATTAATTCATTATCAATGATCTTTAAGTAATTGTCATAAATTTTTCATTAAATAGCATAATTAGACTCAAGAAATTTGGAAAAAATATGTAAATAAAAAAAAAACTCTTAAATAAAATGTAAATTGTAAATGTAAAATCTGCAGCAATATTGGGAAAAATGAACAAGAATAATATTCTTAGGGGAAGTATTGGAGTGATGTTGGATTTTTATATAAATTCATAAAAACTGAATTTTCAGTTTTCAGAAATGCTGACCATGCTGCTGATATGAAGACTATGCATTCAACATCCATGATGTTTTCAATTAATCCTTGTGGAATATAGAGCCTATAACAATAACATAGTAGTCTTGATTACAACAATCTGTTTCTATTTCCCCAACAAAAGCTAAATATATATGTTGCAGCTAGCAAAGCTGCTAATGAACTTATTTGCCTTAAGTTACTTTTCAAAGAGATAACTAGATAAAATGGGAACCCCACTCACTATATTGACAATCAAAGGGCTATAAGACTCACTCAAAACCCTCTACACCATCGAAAATCAAAGCACATTGATGTGCAATTTCATTCAATCCAAGGAAAAGTTGAATGAACAATCGGAACTTACAATACCTACCGTCAGTAGATCAAATAGCAATATCTTAGTGAAGCCTCTCACGTCTGTCAGATTTACGAACTTAAAAATTAGACTTGAAAACAGTAAGAATTTAAATTAAAGTTGTGTTTACATGATATTATGTTACATTTTAATAAATTGTTTGCTTTTACATTGTTTAATGTTTTGTTTTTATGATAAATATTTCATTTTTATGAATATGTTTTATTTTTATGATATAAATTGTTCTTGATATTGAAAAGGAGTGTTGAAATTAGCAATATCACAGGAATTCTAGTTCATGCTTGTTTAGCACATTTTGACAACAGCTGTTTGTAGTTAATTACAAAGATACATAGCCAGTAGACGTTTGGTAGCTCTTCTGGTTAGATGTTAATGTTTGTCTCTCCACGTTGAGTGTAATGATTTTTGTTTTTGTTATTAAAAATGTTACTGATTTACATTAATGTGTTCTATCTTCCTTTTCATACCTAACGAAATCTCTTCAATCAACTTCCATTCTTTGATATAATAAATAATAGTATTAAAATCACTGCTACCATGAATCTTCTCTTGATTTTTTATTAAAATCATACAGTAGAATTCATTATCTAGTAAACTCCAAAAAGAGAAAGAAAGCTTTTGCTCTTCCTCAGTATCTTAAGCCTCAAAAATACCTGTTGTGTTTGATCTTGGGGAAGAACGTCTGTGACTGGCCTATGATGAAAAGATGAGTAAAATGACAAAAATGGAAACCAATATTTTTTTTGAGGGTGGTGTTTAATAAGATAATTTGATTTAGCAATAATTCACGCTTCTGAGGAAAAGAGAAGGGGAAGATAAAGAAAGAGGTTTCATTTTTCCAGCTAACTCCTTTTCTTTTGATAAGTGTTTGGAATTTTTTTTAAACATATTGGTTTTCACATTGATAGGTCTAGTTTTTCTTATTATTTTCCTACCAAAAGAAATTTAAAAAAAAAATGCTTATTTTAAAAGCGTGTTTGTTAAAATTGTACATTTTGAAAAAACAAATTAGAACAAAATATTTTTTATCAGGAATATAAAGAAAACTATGACCAAGCTCTGATCAATGATCCTTGTAAATTAAATACAGGCAATCCTTTAATACTTAGTGAAAAATTTTCAAAGGAGTAATAATCACTCTTAATTAGCATCTTTAAAAAATCTAAATAAAAACAATTATTGTGTTAGTTTTGAACGTTCTCAAATAAACATCATACATTCATTTGCAAATATTAAGTCAAAAAAATTTCTCCTCTATATTTAAATAAGTACTCTTAATTTATTTTACTTTTAGTTAAAGTTAGTCAAATTCTTATAACAAAAATTTAAATAACGTCAGTTTTATAAAATATTTAAGATTTTTGCACATCTTGCATATAAAAAAAAACACTTAAGTGAAAAAAAAACTAACTCTTTTAGACAAAATGAAAGAGAATCACCAAAATTGATATTTTGGGTTGGAAACTAAGTTTCCACAATTTTAACAATGAGCACATCACTAAACATTTTTGGTACAATATTTTAGATAATTCAAAAGAGGATGTTTTGCTGAACCAAAATCTATGTTGTTTTTAAGCCAATTTATGCTAAAAATGTAATGTCAAGTTAAAAAAAAGAGCACATTTCGCACCTTTTTACTTTTAATCAAGGTTCTAAGGTAGTAATAGTTGCTGGTGACACTTGTGCTACGTATCGTGAGGGTGCCATAACTGAAAAAGCAGCTTGCGTTTGGCAAGGTAAGTTTAAAAATTTCACCTCAAAAAATACACATCATTCTGGCTGTAGTTGAATATAACAAATTCTAACATGAAATTTTTTCTCAAATGACATAGGAATTGACAGAAAAAATGGAATGCTCCTACAGTTTGAACTTTAAAAAATTTTTAAAATTGCAGGAGCTTAAGAAGCCAACCCAATATATTCAAAACAATTCCTTAATAGTTCATATAAAGATTTTACTTTCTTCGATGGATTTTTCCTGTTGAATGTCATCAATAGTCTCATCTATTGTCTTTACAATCTTGGAGGATTTCATAATTTCAAGATATTGGCATCTGAACAAAAAAGTTTCCTCATTAATAAAACATGCATTCAGTGGCAAAATTAGGCACAAGAAAATTCTTAAATGCAAAAATTTTTTTATTAATAATGCATAATAATGTACAAAAATATATATGCAGTCTGTCCAAAATGTAATGAATCTGATTTTCTAAATACACCCCAATAAACTGAATCGCATGTTACTTTGACATGACAACTCCCAGTGACGCTTCTTTAGATATTAAATATGATTTTATTTTTACTTCAGTTGAATTGGCTAAAAATTTAATTATTTAAGTCCATACAATAAATAGAGTCAGGCAAAAGATTCCAGATTGTATACAAGCAAAAAGAAATCAGTCATACTTGAAAGAAATTGAAAGATCTTGCTCGACACTTACTGTTAATTAAGAGGAAAAATATGTGATAATAAAAAGTTTCCATAAATTCAAGCATGATAGTGTAAACAATTCAAATAACACCTGAAACCATAACTATTAACATAATCTTCATTAAATAATAAATATCCATGTTATTTTACTAACAAATGATGTACCAATTTTTAAATATATTCTGGCATTTTATTTTGACCACCTTTTATTATAGTTATTGATTCATTATAACCACTGATACATAAAGTCCAATCCCATTGATACAATGCTAAAACCCGTTAAAATTAAAATTCTTCCATTACCAAAAAATTACTTCAAAAACAAGTACAGTGAAACCTCTCGAGAGTGACCACCCTCTGTTCCACAGTAAAATGCTCGTTAATGGAGGATCATTCTTAGGGGTTAACTATATGGGTTAATAATATTCTAGGGGTAAGTTATATTGTTATCCAAAATACATGATTTTTCACAAAGAATTTTCATTTTAGCCAGTGTCATTTTCTTGGTGCGGAAATGCCACTTGTGTTGGTATCATGAAAACCAGATAGATGAATAAAGTATAGCATCAATAAAAATGATCACAACTGATATAATTAAAAGTAAAAACAAATTTACCAATTATGAATAATAGAATTATTTTAAATAAATAAACAATTATATATTTTAAGATTGCATTTAATTTCATAACATAAAAATTAATTAGCTTTAAAAGATAAGATGAGATTTGTTTGCTAGAGATGCTTAGTTTTTTCTAAAATAACTTTTCTTTCTAATTTAACTTTCTAGTCTAAAATTGAATAATTGATAGTATCATCTTTATTGCTTTCTGACTGCAACATGAAGTTGTAAATGTCTTTAATAGATCATCAAAAGGAGCTTTCTAAATAAAAGACTCATACAAATATTTTTAATACATTTTAATCTACTTATTTGTTTTGTTAAGATTTTTTATTTTGATATTTTTTTGTTTCCTTATTTTGCCTTTTCCGCATTTGGTGCAGAAATTTGCCCGGTCACTGAAAGAGGTTGTCATGGTCTCTTCTAAAGGTTTTCTTTAACACAAAGTCTATGGAAAAAAATCTGTGCCTCCCGAAAGTGGTCATAAACAACATAGTTTTCTACATAGAGGTGGTCTTTTCTGGAGGTTTCACTTTATTAGGTTATATAAATTATAAAAAATGTTTTGATTTAGAGATAATTAGTTGATATAAAGGCTTAAAGAAATTTTTTGGAATACTATTTCATTTGATGTTACTGTATAATATGGAAATATTTTGACAATGCAATAATAAAAAAATAAAACAATGAAATATTTTGAATACTAATACAATAATGAATCATTTCAAATCCTTTTCAGGTGAAGGAAGTGTGGTAAAACCAAACAGAGCTTTTACTCAAGGTAGATTACAGTCACAAATTAGGAGGAATAACCAAAACTTATCTAACATCGATAATAAATTAAAATAGGATTTTAAAAAAAACTCAAGAGAGCACACAGATACTCAAACGTAATCATTGTGGATGTAGATATTATGAAACATTCAAAACACTTTGTTTAGACCAGATTTTAAGGTTACTAAGCAGAATTAGAAAATGCCATTTTCAGCTTTATAAGAAATATCATACCTAATGTGGTCATTTTATTACTAAATTTAGTGGGAAAAAAGTATTAAATGCAATTTGAGGGAATTTAGAAAAATAAGCTTTACAGAAAACCTTCTAACAAAATATTGTTTATTACTAAAACCAGCCTCATTGCCTAAGAAAATCATTTTAATAAATATTGCATAGCATAATACAAATTAAAAATCAAAAGTCTGAGTGTTTTAAGACTGGCACTAGGAACGTTTTTTCATTAAGTTTTTTAATTAATGCTTAACAGATCATATAAATAAATCTTTTTATCAAGATATAGTACAGGGGTAATAAACCTCTTTTTGCCAGTTTGTCAAAAATGATATAAATTTGATATTATTAAATCTGCAATATTATACTACAACACACTTGATTTCTTCCCATTCATTGCATAAACATAACATTAAACATAACTCTATAGACGATATAATCTTCATGTATAAAACTGAAACATATTTGCAACAAACTAATAAAAAATTTCGTTTTGGTAAATTAATGATACCCTTTGATTATCTTATACTTAGATTCTTTTAGCTACAGGCATTTTGAACTAGATTCATTTATCAATACATTTCTGAAACTACTGTTTGCAAAATGAGTTTATAAGACTTATAGAAGAAAAGCTTTTTAAATTAGAATAAATGCCTGGATTCAACAAAACAAAAAGAGTTTTATTCATAGTTCGCAATTTAACTTTTATAAATTTAAAACGTATGCATAAATTTGGAAAAAAATTCTATCATCCTGGTAGTATTATTATTAATAAAAACCAGTGCATATTTTTACACAGAAAAGGAAGTATTATGTTGCCATACAAGGAAAAGAGTAGAAACATTAGGTAACTGTAATTAAACATTAAAAAATTTTACAACATTCTGAAAATACTGCCAATGAAATTCTTTTGAAAAAAAAATCTTTTATTCCCTTTTTTTTAATTTGCCCACAAAACTATTTTCTTGTCAGTCTTGTCACTCGTGCCAAACGTTTACCACTCTAGATATAGTAGATTAAAATAATTTTGCAATAAAATATGAAAATATTTTAAATAATAATAATACTTTAAACATTTCTTTCCACCAGCAATGTTATCAATAGAAAAATTGCCACTTAAACCTCCTAGGCGCTTTCTTAACATGTATCGAAAAACGCAGCAGGAACTCAGTTTTAAGTCACGAATTCCATCAAGAAATATGGTCACACTAAACGGAAAACCATCATGAGTTAAAGATGTGAAAGTAATCGTCTCTAGAAAAAAGAAAGCTTAGTTAAGAGTCATAAAATGATTCATAAATTACTAAAATGATAGTAAGAAAAAGGTTTAAGAAATAAAAGGTGAAAAAAAGAACAGCAAACCCCATTATGCTAACCACATTTATTATGCTGTTCACCTGTCTGAGTTGACTTAACCACTTATCCAAAAAGGTGGTTAATTAGGACAGATCAACATCACTGGATATCAAAAGTAACCGAACATCAACCCCATATAGGCCAGTTTGTGGGTTGGTCAACACACTTCAAGAGATTCCAAGATTTGGCGCCTGCAACCGCTCGAATCAATTTGGGCTTAATTTTGATATGCACTTCAGCTTGACATTAGCATGTTTAAAGATGCTCAAAAATATTACATTATTGAATTCAAAACGTGAAAACAATATTATTAATTGAAATAAACATATATATTTGCTCATAAAAGCTTATGTGAGTTAAGATTGTGTTTTTGAAACTAAATATGCAAAAATTTAATATAAAGTAATTCTAATGACAAAATATATGGTTCATAAATTGGTTAACAGACATATAACCAATAAAAAAGAATATTTAACCCCCCTCGAGCGATATCAGTTAGAAGCGCAGTTTTCATTGCATTGTCAGTAGTCATTACGTTTCTTCACTTCAAAGTATAAATAAGACTTTTCTAAAGCATTTTTGACTAGCTTCTCTATTATTTTAAAAAGTTCTATTTTCTAGAATATATATATATANATAATGAAAATGTTTATAGCATTGGAAGCGAAAATGTTACAAAAGAAAAAATTCATCAAAAGGGAAAAAGGAAGTTTTTTTAACATTGAGTGCTTAGAAAATTATAAGGAATTCTTTTTCACAAGTCATCAAAATATTGTACAAAACTGAAGCATTTTAGAGTTACTGTTAATTTTTTAGCTTTTAGAAATCCTTATTGCAATTTATAATGAAATAGTTATAAAGCTAAAAAATTTCTAATGAAATGGCTAAAACCAGTAAAAAAAATAATTAACTTCTTTTTACAAAGCATTAAATATTTATTTAATAATTAAACAAATTTGTGACCTGAAGAACAAAGCTATTAATATTACCATTTGGTGCAATATCTCCTTTAAATACAGTGACAGATGTACCACCACAATGTTGTTGCTTAATAACTATTTCTTTTCTAAAGAAATTTTGAAAATTTACAACTCCATGTCCATGATAAAATAAAGTTACTTTGCACTGATCCAAATTTATATTCTTTACAGATGAGGATACCTAAACAAGTTTGGAAAATCATAGACAATGAAAGAATAATAAATCAGAATAACAATAACAATACAAAACATATACTGACAAGGGTGCAACATTCATTAAATAAAAACTGTTTAATAACTTTACATTCTGTGCAGAAAAATTTAAATAAAAAAGTTTAATAATTTAACACATAAAAAGTTAACAAGTAACAATACTATGTAAAAATACTTTTAAATAAATATTAAATTTTTCTATTACAAAAGATACATTAAGAATGATGAAAAGTCTTGAATGGGAAAATCAAAATTTGAACAGAATTTAGTATATATTTATACAGAAGATATATTTATATATATTATTTATATATATAGAATAGATAGATATATGGAATATTATAGATATATATTAATTTATAGAAAATATATTTATTTAGTATATTTCTATTTTAGAAATTTCATCACTTAGGAGCTATTTCACTGATTTGGAGCTATTTCACTTTTTTTTTCTTTTTTCGAATTATAGATTCTGTTAATTTATACGCAAATAGAGATCATTTAAAGATTTGTCTACTTCAAAGTCTTTTCACTAATTAAGTACATAATTTACAACTTAAGTCACTTCCAACAAATAAATAATAAATATTTATTAAAGATAATATTTTGTACAACACTGGAATAATAGAGTTTTAATGATGAAATGCAAACTTTTTTTGCTTTGTACATATGATTTTAGAGAAGTGATAAAAATATTATTAAAATTTGCATAACTTTATTTTTTTTATTTTTTTTTAATCAATAAAAGCAATTAAAAAAATATAATAAATAATTAATAAAAATTATTTTTTACATATAATTATCTTTGATAAGTATCTTGCCAATTTTTGTTACTAACCAAATTCTCATTATTTGCTTTTTTTTTTTAAAAAAAACGTGGTATTTTAAGACGCAATTTTGATTTTACACACAGTTATGTATCAACTATGTATTTCTCAGTATTAAAAATAAAGTTTGTAAGCAAAAGTCTGAAGAAAGGATATTTTTTTGGATATCAGTATTTAAAATGTTATATAGCTTCATGAACCTTCATAAGGAGATGATAAGCTGAATTTTTTCTTAGATAGAAAAGAAAAAGCCTCATGCACAAGAATAATTCTGATTCTATCTTAAATATATAGTGTAAAATTATGTCTAGTTCTGGATTTTTACAGAGGAGTTGTCATTGAGTTATAATGACTGTAACAGTTTGATATTTTTCCAAATCAAATTTAAAAGGATCGAAAAATGATTATTTTTATCAAGGTCTAATAACCTTTAAAGCTTTCACTTTCTTTAATAAGAAAACTACATGTAAAAAAAGTGTTTTGTTTCATAGAAAAACAAGCAAGTAAGAAGACAGTTTTCTATACAAAATTAAACATCAAATTTCAATTAAATATCAAATTTTCAATTACAAAATTAAATATCAAACAGCATTAAAATAAAAGTAAAAAGAAAAGTTAAAACTGTTATGATTAATGTATAAATCACCTTATTTGTGAAGTTTGTTGACTTAAGTTCAGGCCCTAAATTTGAGTGGAGTTTTTTACGCTTCTTTCTTTTTATGAAGTTGACTCCAGTGTGAACAGAAAAAGGAGCTTGATTTTTATAGCTACACCAAAACATGGGAAGAGTATAAGGAGATGAATCTTTTGCAGAATAGCACCTCTAAGGAAATAAAAGTCATTAAATAAAATACTTTAATACAGATATTTCACATTTATCTCTTTATTTAAAAAAAGAAAAGAAAAAAAAAACTACCAGTGATACTTTTCCTTGTAGTTTTTCCTAGCTATAGGAAAGAAAATCATGGGTTTTTCTCTGCTTTGTGACTAATTAGAAAAACATTTTGTGAAATGGAATTTTCACAAGCATTGGAAGCATTTAAAAGTTATATATCAAGAACAGACATTAATAGAGATCATTACACATTAATTGAGAAAGTATAAGAAGTAAAGTTCTAACAAATAACTTATGGAACTAACTTACTTATCTTATATATCTATTTAGATGCAATTAATAGGTCAAACATACAAAAAAGAAATCTAAAAAAAAAAAGGTTAGATACAAGATAGGAGAAGCAAACAAATATTATTTTGAAAGTATTAGTTTATGCATTAAAATTTTTATTATTTTTTTCTCATTTAAAAATGTCTTTCTCCTAGTAATGAATATGTATATAATAATTTTAGTTTACTTAACTAGAGATTTAGTTTATGAACAAAAGCTACTATCTTAAGTTTTAAACAAAGCAGAACATAGAAAAATATAATAGTAAATTTATTGGACATAATATGGCTAAGTGCTCAAGTTTGTTTTTTGATAGATCAAAATATTGAAATAATCTTTAATATTTAATAATATCAGCTAATAAATACTTACAACGATTGGAGTTAAGAATATTGTTACTAACAATTTAAATAAAATGGAATATAATACAGCGTTAAAAATCGACAACAAAACTTCTATGAAGAATGCTAAAAAGAAATTATCCAAAAATTCCTTATATTTTCAAAAAATTTAATTCTCTCTTTTTTTTGTAGTATCTTGTTTGATGGTAAAATCTAAAATTACTTTTACAGATAATTACCAATTTTAAAAAACACTAAAATAAAAGGGTTACTCAGCAATTAACACTGATAAACAAATTTTAAAAAAATGGTAGATATCTTGGCATCTAGTGCGTTTTCTAAAGCAAACAAACCATGCTAATTCTCCATCATCCACCATTTTTTAGATACACGCCTTGAACCATTTTTATTTTACCAATTCAATTTACTTTCGCAGAGAAAACTCATGAACATAGCTTCAGTTAAGAAAATAGTGAGATTAAGTTACATGACCATTATACTGTATAAAAATATGGAATTCTAGATATAATGCACACATAAAATCTGTGCAAATTGAAAATACTTCCTTAATTTAAGGTGTGTTGGGTAGGAAGTTTTCAGATGTAACTATTATGTACTGCATTAGCGCTGAACATTATCACTATGGAGTACCCAGCAGTAGTCAGTCCTGATGTGTCTACTTCAACAGATAGAAACTCTCAGTGATGAACATTCGTGAAAACATTAACCATGTTCATCACTGACTGAACCTAGGTTTTTGCAGCTGAAGTCAAGATGTGAGTCAAGGAGATAAGTTTTAAGGGACAAGTTAATCCCCAGCTGTTTGTGCACACTTTCAAAAATGATCTAACTGATATTAATACCCCCATGTATTTCTTTTAGTATCAATCAGTAAGTTTGGGAAGTGGGTGTCAGCAATTTTCTTCATTACTTGAGGCCTTTTAAACACAATTTCACTTTTACATAAATCAACTTATTAAACTTTTCTGCACAGGTACCGAAAATTATCTGAGTAGTTGTCTAGTGATGGCACAAATTTCTTCATTCGCTCAAGTTTGGTGAAAAGTACTGGTATGGTAACTTTGGCACAGTCATTCAACAGCACACCAAGTACATTTTTATTTCCTGGCTGCATTATGTTTCTGATTTGATCTGATTTATGATTTGACTCAATCTTCACTATCCCACTCAAAGATAGAAAGTACATGGTGTACCCTATCTACATTCCCATAAGAATGGTGGTAGCTGTTAAATCATGTTATGATGTCAATAAAGGCATTACATATTTCCTAGCTTTTATATTTCCTTTACTTCATAAATTTAATCATTTTCTTAATAGTTCTTTAAATAAATAAATCAGTTCAATCTTTTCAATTTTATAAAGAGTGCATATAAATATTTTTATTCTCAATAAATGCAAGGGATAACTTTTTACTTCAATGCAAGTGTACAACTAATTACAATTCAATGTCATGACAACTAAGCATCAAAATCTATTTTTAACATTTCTTTTTTCAACTACATTAAACAATAACATAGACTTAATTAGGTTTACTTTAATTTTCAATGAACTTTTTTGCATTAAATCTTCACCCAAACTATTTAAATATCAACATGACTTGGCTTCTCTTTTGCCAGTGTCATTTTTCAATAACGCGTCTTTGATGGATCTCTCCAGTACTCTAAAAGCATTGATTAAAAACTATTTTTGAATTGGCTTTTGATCAGGCAAATCGTGGGACATTTATCTCCCATGGTCTGTCCCTATTAATAATATAATGCAAAATTTATTATTTTATATAAAATATCACTTGGATAACAATATTCTTTTTATTTTGCACCTCGAGGTGCACAAGGAAATAAATTACTATGTTAATGATCCTGTTTTCATAATCTTTCATCAGAAATCAATCAGACATCTTCCATTATTTTTTTTATTTTAGCCATAATTAACAAAATTTAGTCTATTTCCATGAACACTAACTGCCACCGAATTCTCCATTACACAGATAAACCATTCATAAATGTGACAGAGTATGATTTCATACATCTCTTTCAGGTGGATAGCATATCCAATTGCTATTTATTTTCATTGTATAATAAATACTATTTCAAACTATTTTTCATTGAGACAATGAAATATCGCTGTGGTCCAAAGTTGTATTCAACCCTTAGGCTTGACATTAAACATAAAAAGTCCATACAGTAGTAAATAGTGTCCTCCGTTGAAAATAACTACACAAGTTCTCTATGCCTGAGGAAAAAGTGCATAGTTGTTATACTAGGAGCAAACAGAACATTTTTAAGGTGTGAACTGAATAGCTCAGCTTGATCTTTTGTTAGTACCCGATCATGTACAAAGTCATAAGGGCAGTCTTGTTTATAAAATAAATATGACTTATACAAGTGACAAAATCATGCGTAATTGGTTTAAAAAATGACAGTGTGCATAGATACTTTACAGAGGCTAGAGTTTTGTAGGAATTATAATTAACTGATGCCAATAGTCAACCTCTTCAATTTTAACTGAAGACAAGGAATTTTTATGGGATTGCATAAAAAATTAATAAAAGCATTGTGACAAACAAAATTGATGAACAGTGGTTATAAAAATTAGTTTTTGTCAATATCTTCAAAACCGGACATGATAGAATAAAACTGTTTTCAGATATGAAAACAGCATGACAAACTACATTAGAAAATGTTAACACCATGCCATATATTTATAGCCAGTTCATCAGTGTTATCAAAAATCCTTTATTGAAGAAATTTACTTCGAAAATATTATTTTGCTTTCTACTTACAAAAACAGTATTATTAAATTTCAGAAGAAAAAAAATTTTTTGCTAATAGCTGAAATATGTAAAATAGTTAAATAAAAATATTTTATTTTATAAGTTACAAATTATATCCTTTAACAATCTTATCCCTAGCATATTTTAGTAAACACAGCATTCTATAAAATATTAAAAAATGTTTACAAATTTAGGTAAGTATAGAGAACTATTTCAGTTTATTTAAAAATTAATTATGCATTGCAATTTTAGATTCAAATACATATTTAAATTTTAAACATGCTTTGGAAGGCAATAAATTTTTATTCATACAAAAAGAGCAAATAATGCAACACCTTAACATTTTTTTATTTTTTACAAAAAACTGCAACTCCTGACTCATTATAACATGTAAGTGCATAACTGAGTTTCATAGTATCTAGGAATTGCATTAGGAATTGAGTAAAAAGTCCACAACTTCATTATAGAAAGTAAACACACACAGTGAGAAATATTTATAATCAAAATGTTTTAATGTATTTGGAGTGGCAATAGTTTTTCATATCTCATATAACAGAAATAGTTCATTGTAATGACTTACAAGAAGTTAATTTTCTTTTTGAACATGCTAAATTTTCTTACCATCACAAAAATTCCTAAAACAAAATTAAAATATACCTGAAATTTAATCCATATTTTAACAAGGAAGTCATACAGGAAATTTTAATCACTAAATACATTATTAATGATCGTATACCAACCTTTGCTTTAGAAATATTTGATTGAGGAAAAATGCCATTTTTCCGAGAATATTCAGCAAATGAAAGTGCAGACCTAGGTAGTTGAAATCCGTCATACTTTTTGTGTACACTTTTTGCATTATCTGGCATTCTACTAAGATGACTAGGAACAATTGTAGCTTTCATTTTATTCAAAGAAAGAGATAGATTTCTACCGTACTTCTTTTTATCTACCTACAAAAATTTAATTTATTATTTATCTTATATTAGGTAGTTTAAATTTTTAAAAGATACAAATATTACGTAACACAAGAGGAAAGGGTTTTTTCCCGAAATTATGGTTAAAAATATTACCATGATTTTGTGATGAAAATTGTAGTTTAATATTGTCTTGTATCATCCTATTACATAAATTGATCATATAGAAACTGTGTTCACAAACTTGACACAAATTTTTGCACATGCAGATGATTTAGTTATTCTGCATAAACAATAAATAGTTTGATACAAGTAGCAAAAGAATTCAGGGATAACAAAAATGAATATTAATGAGGAAAAAACAAAGTACACAATGATGTAAAACTCTTAGAAACAAATACAAATACAGAATATAGCCATTAATAATAAAAAGTAAAATTTTCACTTAAAGTGAAAGATACCAGCACTTTATCCACCTAAGCAACAAAATTAATAATAAATGTGAAATACATATAATAAATATAGTATAAATAAGCAAATAGTATGAATAAACAAATATTATAAGTAAACAAATACAAATGAAAATGAAACACTATGTGTAAATCATAAAATATTAAAAAGAAAATTTACTTCAAGAAAATATAAGATGTATGCATACAATACCTTAATTATACGAACAGTTACATAGGAATCTGAAACATAAGTCTTTTCCAATAGAGATCAAAATATAGTAAGAAAATTTGAATGCAGAAAGAAGAAACTACAGACCTATAGCTGTAAATAGCACGTGGAGGACAAGACACAATCATGAAATTGAAAATTTACTTGGAACATGAGAGTTACAAGACAAGAGGGAATACAGTGACTAGCGCACATAGAAAAAATGAAAGAAACAGATATGCCAAAGAAAATCATGAAAGGAAGACTTTATAACTACAGAAAAATGGTAAATCAAAATTAAAGTGGCTGGACTAGATAGAGGTCCTTAAGGTAATGAAAAAAATCAGGAGCTTGTAAAAGAAAACTGGTGAGAGGATGTATTGGAAGTATGTAATATAAAAAAGTCAAGGGACAACAAAGGTTGGAGAAAAAAAGATACAGTAGAACTTCGATCTATCCTTTCTGAGACCATTCATTGCAAACGATAGAGGCATGAAAACGATGAAAATATAAAACATTAAGTAATGATTTGAAAATATATGAAAAGCAATAAAGAGGTGACAAGAATTGAAATGAAATTTACTATACGTATAAAAAAAAAAAATTTTAAAAAATGCACATGATGCAGAAATACTTCTGATACAAAAGAATAAACAAATTTATTTTTTAAAAATATTCGAAAATCTTGGATTGAATGCACTCTTTTAAGCAAAAAAAAAATGAATTTTTGACTTTTGTAATAGATTGCTGTTAATTTTCTGTATGCTTGTGTGAATACAGAATGTTGCTCATTGTTTCAAATTTCGCGAATTTTTCTGCAAATGTTGGCACTGGTTAGGGTTCTGTTTTGTCTTCATTGAAATTACTTTGCACTTCTTCAGCTTTAGTAACCGATTATTGAACCAACAGTACCACACGTTTTAACATTTTCAGAAACTAATGCATAAACATCATACCTGCTGTTTAAAGCAATTTGCCCAAACTGTAATAAATTCTTTTCTTCTTCATCAATAGCATAAGCTGCACTTTTGCTTCTCAAAATGAAATAGCTTTGATGCTTTTATGTTGGAACAACTTCTAAACCATAAATGTGGGAAGTACATTGTTTCTAAAGTGACCTTAACAGGTATTATTAACCTCAAAAGAACAGCATTTGTGATGTGATAATTAAAACAATACATACAGAAAATGATGCAGGAACAATGGATTGAAGTTGGACTGTATTTGGATAATTTATAACTTTTTTGATAAGTCCCTGTCTTTTGCAAATTTTTTAAATCTTGTCTCCCTTACTGTAATAAAAGATAATAACTAGTGCAATACATTGGAAATTTCTTTCTTTTTGTTTAAGGGGATTTCCCATTATATCAACTATGTAACCTTTGGTGGCTTTTCTTTAACCTCCCCTATAATTTTTTTAATTGATTGTGACCAAAGAAAAATTATTCCCCCTTATCTTTGATACTTTACTATACCACAGTAATAGTGTTTCAAAGTGGGAACAGGTAAATATATATATATATATATATATATATTGAAGTTGATGGCCTTTGGATGCTTCAACACAGGAGAAATCCAGAGTGAATTCTCTTTCATCTACATAAGTGATTATTTTAGAGCAATTTATCAAGGTTTTCTAATGTTTAAAAAGAATCAAACACAGTAAGAAACAATAATGCTAAATATAAGTCAACATTATATATGCTTTAATGATTTGAGGAAAATACAAATGAATGTAGAAAAAAAGATACATAACTGATTAAATATACAAATTAAAGATAAATAAAAATAAAAATCAATTTTTATTTAAAGCAATAGAAAAAATAGTGTTTTCACTACAGCGCGAGAAACTCGCATATTTTTTTCTTTTCTCGCATTAAAAAATTATTACCACGAGAAATTCGCGCATTCTATAAATTAATTTCAAAATTCGCGAATTTCTCGCATTTTGGAAAAAGCTTCGAATTACGCCATTTAGAATAAAATCCGTTTCACTTTTTTCTTCCTTGATCTTTCATTATTTTCAACATCTGCCCCGTTATCTAGTTTCCCTATTTACCAGTATGGTTCAGAAACTTTTCCAACAACAGAACACATTTCTCTGCAACCACCTGTTTACCGTAAGGTTTCTTCATGTAAGACGTTTAAATTTTTTATGCACTAATGTAAGGTGGACAAATACCTTGTAAAGGCAAAATCTTCTATGATGATATACCAAAAATATTCAATGCTTTAAAAAAAAGAAGACGTTAAAAATGTATTATAATTAAAGAAATGATTTTTTTTTCAAGAGTTTTTGTGTTTTTTTAGTTTTTAGAAATCTCACTTAACTTTTTGTAATCTCACCTTGTTTCTGAGAAAGGGTGAGAAATTCTCACCCATTTTTTTTCTATGATGAAAACACTGAAAATTATAATTAAAATATGAAATATTCATTGTTGTACAAAGTGTTTTAGTCTGAAAAATTAAGCTTACTTTAGTATTCTCAACTAATTGCATCTTCGAAATATCTTCTAGGTAGTTGAAAAGTTTTTTATTACAACAGCTTTCATCAAGAGCAGCATTTTGTATGATATTTCGAGCTAGAAAGTCATAAAGATGTTTTTTTCTCTCGTGCTTCAGGGTCTCTACTTTGTATGTTTGTTTTGGAATGATAGCACCATCTTCAGTGATCTGAAAGGAAATCAATATCTATATACACTGGAACTCCAATTTTACGTCCTCCATTTTGTACATTATTTCTACATTATTTTCTGCTGGTCCATGAAAATTGCCTATGCTGATAATGTTAAATTATCCCAAATTTTACGTTACTCTTTTAAGAAAATTCGTACATTTTTCCTAACAGATCAAAAAACATTTCTTTTCAACAAAGCTTGCACAAACTTTATCTAAGTTTTCCTTTTTTCATGTTGTTTGTGCATTTTCTGACATTTTTTTGATTGTCTCATTTTCACTCTAATATGTCTGTTAGAGTGGATTTGCTCCTTGAGTTAAAATCAGAAAGATGGTGGAATGGGAAAAGCACATGAAGGGTGCGATTTAAGGAAGTATGGGAGATTAAATTGCACAATTGGCAAATGGAATTTTTTCTCTGAATCTTGGAATCAACAAATTGCTTAAAAAACGTTACACTAAACTATTGGTTAGATAATCATCTCTTTTCCTTGATTTTGGCACTTGCGCGATGCTTCGAAGACAAAAATTAACATTCGAAGGCAAAAAAACATTCTGAAACTCTGAATATGATTTCTATAGTGTTGCACAGTCTCGACTAATATTCATTACAAATGGGTTAAATAAAGCCCTTTGTTATAGAATAGAAAGTAGCATAAGAGCTTTTTGCTTTTATGTAAAATTTTACCAAAAAATTGGGCAATATATAGAATATTTTAGGCACTATGGAGACAATAAACAAAAATAATTCTAAATTACTTCAATCATTCTGAATTTTCACACAAGATAAACATTTATGACTAACACTACTATCAGACAGTCAAAAATTTCAAATAAATATGATTTTACGTTTTATTATGACTCCAATTCTATATAACACTGGTTCTGACAAAAGATTAAATAGCAAATAGACATACAATTACCAGAATTAAATTTTATTTTCTCTCTGTAAGGTATTTCAAATATCTGGAATGGATTTGCAGAGAGGAATTAGCTCAGAAACTGGACAAGCAAAAATGTCCAAAAGAGTTGAGGACAGAGTTTAAGAATAATACAAATAGATTTTGTAGTTGAGTGGTCTATCTCTTTAGTTTAATAGCATTTAACCTTATTGGGTACTGAAGTTTTGTGCATTGTTATCCATGAATATTAGAGGACTTTTCAACAAAAATCTTCTAAACAAAGAACTGTGAACTTCATAAGATTTATAAAATTATTTAAATATATTGGAAAGGATTCATTTTGATATGCAACACAAATTTCTAAAAGCATTTAAAACAATTATACTACATTATATGAAGTCGTCGTTTAAAATGCTGTTTAGACTCAGAGACTCTTATACTGGTCTATTCAAGCATATTCAAGCCTTTTCAACAATTTAGAGGAAATAAGATGCAGTTAAAAATTTAATGCAGATACATTTTCTTTCCTAAATATTTTCATTGAAAACTTTGGATTCTTTTTTAAGCTTTTAAATCCTTTTTTAAAGGGGTTTACATAGATATATATTTTTCACATTTGCTTTTGATACCATTTTAAGAAACTAAATATATGCTGCAATTTGAAAGCTTTAGTTTGAATTTAAAATTCTTATTTATCTTTTTCCTTCTTATTTTTAAATTAATGAATTTATTATTCATTAATGTAAAATATATAAAATTGTTTTTTCCCTTCAAGTGAAATGCTCAGTCACCGATTTCTTTTCCCTCAGCTTGTGTCATTTTCATAAAAGATTCAAATGTACAATAACTACTTCTAAAAATTGCAGTTTTACAAAATTAATTTCTTTTTTTAAAAAATTAACTATCTGTAAGGTTGTATTATTTTGCCAATGCATTTTCCATTTTCTCATAGTTAAATAATTTCTTAAATTTCATTTTGAAATAAATACAAAACAATAGCAGTAGGCAATTCTAATATCTTTCTGCTTTAAAAGTAAATGCATTTTCAAAGTTTATTTTAATTTGCATAAATACTAAAAAAATGCAGTGAGGCTATAATTTTGTGGAACACTACATGCATATATGTATTATTATTATTATACAAATAGGTAGTAAACAATAAAGTCACATGCTTTTTATGCTCTACAGCATGGGCTTCCAGTGATAATATCAGAAAACAGTTCTGTTTTCTGAATGTATATATAAGTCAACTGTGTGTATACATAAGACATACTTCATGCACCCTTCATGCTACAATACATAAAGTCTGCCTTATTTATATACACAGAACACACTCAAGTGAGTCTCTGTTGAACAGCCCTTAACTTAAGGACAGTCTTTATTTTGAAACAATAAGTTACAGTTTCATTTCTTTCACAGTACAAAAATCATTATTTAATGACTGAGTTCCTGTTTAAAGATGAAATTCTTCACAGCATAGAATTTCGTTTTTAAACCTTTTTATCTCAGCAAGGAGATTTTCTGAGTGAGGAAACAAATTTAGTTGTACTAGGGTTAATGAAGAAAAGAAAAAGTTTAATGATTTCTATTTCTTCAGTTGTGATGAATATATTTTAACAACTGATTTAGATCAAAAAAATTTTGAAGATATTGTTAATGAAAATGACTTTGAAGTTGAAAATGAAACAATATATGAGTCATTACTGTTTTCTTATACAGATGTAACTACTGCCACTGATGTCTTAAGAAGTTATATCATTTCATTCAATAAGGAAGATGGCTCTAACAATATGCTCAAAAAACAGGAAAAAGTTAAACAAGACCATGATTGAAGCAATTAATTTTTTTTTTCAATTGATTTTATTCTTATACTATTTTATTCTGGTTATTCTATTCAATTCTTTTATTAGAGTAGACTTTGTGCACTAAAAATATAAATGTGCTTATTTCTTACAAAATAAATTGATAGTCCCAAGTTTACAAGAGTGGAAAAAGTTTACAAAATATAAATTTTTCACAAATTCTATTTAAGAATGCACATTATTCATGGAAAATTATTCCTGGTCCCTTTAAAATAGTTAAACTAAGAGCCAAGTCTGTGTGTATATATTCATATATATGCCATTTCCCCATTGTCAAACTTCACTGTATTTAACTTTTATGTAAATAAATAAATACATTCTGATAAATAAATAGGAAGATAAAATTCTGAAATAAAATTGAAAAAATTCTATAACAGCTTTTGCTCAGTCAGTTGCAATAATTAGGATTTTGCCAAAGCAATGTACAAAAGAAAATAAATATGTCAAAGGATTAATTTAAGGTATTACTGATTCAAACCTATAAAAATAAAAACAAATTCATAAAGAAGTGCATTAAAGATAGCATTTAAGGAGAAAAACTCCTTTTCTGATTTTTCAGGACACAGTTTTATATTGTAACATGTTATTAAACCTTTTCTACCAAAGTAAGTATAGTTACATTTTTAGCCCAAGGATGAGTGAGATAATTTCATATATATATTAAGATTATTTTCTCACTAACAATAATAATATATATACAGACAAATAAATAAAAAAACACAAACGCATTACCAAATTTGCTTCCTTGAGATGCGATAACTTTGCTGGACTAGAAAAATAATGAGCTAAATGAATATCTGTCAAGCCATTATATGATCCCAACGGTCTGAAAAATTATTGAAAAATAGTTCGCATTTTGTCTTAAAAGCAATTTAAAATCTAAATATAGTAAAAAATTAAAGTATAGTATAGTAATAATGGAAGATAGCAAAATTTTAAAGTTAATAGATTACAGCTTTGAAACTGCCTCAATGAGAAAGTTTAAAAGAATAATAAACATCTTTACAGCTTTGATTCGATTTTAACAAATAAATTAGTTTTTTTAAAAACCTTGTGAGCTTGAACTTTTTAACATCCCATTTCCCCCCTTTTTCTCACATTCATCAATCAAGTTTTCAGAGGCATAGTGTAAAACTCATTTTCAGTCATTAGGAGGAACTTAGTATCAATGTTATCAAAAGGTTTCATTGACAGTTTATCACTTAATAAATCTCCAATTGCAGAATTTATTGAGTGGAATACAGAGTATTAATTAGAGCTGAATTTCGTATAATTATACTAAAAATTAAATGATATCATAGTTTTAAAAAACCAATCCAGGCAGGTTTTATTAGGGCTTTTTGGGGTTTTTTTAAAATAAATTAACACTTTTTAAGTTTAAATTTTAATTCAAAAGAAACAATTTCAGTTTCAAAGAAAACTTTCATACGAAAATAATTAATTAAAATAAAGAATAAGTTTAATTTTAATGTAGTACCGACTTCTCATACTGGTAATTATAAAAGGCTCTTAAATTATTTCCTTCTTTGACTAGAAATAAAAACATAATATTAGGGTCAGAGAAATATGTTGTTATCTGTTTTATTTATTTTTATTTGCTATTTTAAATTAACAACCTACAAAACAAGTGTTTATTTAACAATTCTTTTAATAGTTGTTTGAATTGCTCTTTAACCTATGTATTTAGAATTAGTTTGGCAGTGATTTCAATAATTAATGTGAATAAAATAATTAATCTATCATGTTTTATTAAATAAAATTTATAATATTAATTTCATATTATTCAGTATTTATACATGGTTTGATCTTTAATGAATTTTGATATTTAAATTATTATTTAGTGGCATTAAAATATAACTACTAACAAAATATTTTAACCCATCCATTAATAATTTTATAAAATAAAAAATTTCTCAAATTCTATTTTTAATAATACATATATATACTTATTCTATTCATATTCGAAAACTTATTTATTAAGGAGATAAAAGAAAGACTAAGTTATTCCAGTCTATACTCAGCGCCTGTTCAGTTCAAAACAAAAACATTGCAAAAGCTCAAATTTTTTTTTTTAAGTGATTTTTCTTAATTTCTATTTATAAGTCAAATAAAAAATAACAATTGATCAAAGGGCAGATTTTGGTTATGTCTCGTATTTATTTGGTTTGAGGATGGGTCAAAAAAACCTTAATGTTATACAATGATACTTACAGTCAAATATAATACAATGATGTTAACAGTTAGACAGTGTAAAATTAAGAAAAGCTTTATGTAAGTAGGTGCAAAAATGAACATAACTGTATTTATAACCTGTAGACTGTTAGTGAACTGAAGAGGTTCAATAAATTGTTTAAAAAATACATTGAAATCAGTACCACACTTGCCTGGATAGCAATGTTAGACATATAAATATGTATGAGTCAAAATTTAATCTTTTTTTTTACAAGGAACTTAAATACCTTCTGAACTATTAAATATATTGACTTGGTTGTGATTTCTTTCAACTCAGTATAAAAAATTAGATCACAAACATTATATTGCTAGCCTAAATTGCAATAAGTTTCACATTTTCCTTCTCGCATCAGTATATTCTAAATAACAACAAAAGCTCACCTCGAGGGAAGGTGTAAACGTTAATTTCAGATATGCATAATAGGCCAAATAATATTTCTTAAAACAATTTATAGATTTCCCATAATTGCTTTTGTATTCAGTTACACAAGTAAAGACCTCAAGGTTTAGGATCATATTATATAAAAGTTGGATCAGTAACTATACATCTCTGAATTGATTTTATTTCTGCTATATTTATTTAAGGCTTCTTTTCCAGCGTACTTGTCTAGTTTTTAAGAAGGACCTTAAAAGTTGGGAGAAATTTCCATTTCTTGCTACTTTAAGGTCAATTTTAATGTTACTCCAATTGCACACTATATGCATACAGATCTTTTTAGGTACTACTGATTAGTATGCTTTCACAGAAATATATACCTTTGTGGTTCACTGTTGGTATAAGTAGAGATTGAAGGTTGAAATTGTTCTATTTCAAAAAATTTTGAATGATCTTTGATGTTAAAGTCTTCTGAAGGTGCTCATGTATTGTTAGTGTGGAAAAAGTAGAACTCAAAATAATAGTGAGTGCTTTTGTTCACTCATAAAAAAAAAGTAACATCACATGTAAAAAGAATGCATGTTTCTCAAGACTCTAGAGGATCTACAATTTCAATACTCCCAGTGTTTTCACTACAGCGCGAGAACGCGAGAATCTCGCATATTTTTTTCTTTTCTCGCATTAAAAAATGATTACCGCGAGAAATTCGCGCATTCTATAAATCAATTTAAAAATTCGCGAATTTCTCGCATTTTCGAAAAAAGCTTAGAATTATGCCATTTAGAATAAAATCCGTTTCACTTTTCCTGGATCTTTCATTATTTTCAACATCTGCCCCCTTATCTGGCATTTTCGAAAAAAGCTTAGAATTGTGCCATTTAGAATAAAATTTGTTTCACTTTTCCTGGATCTTTCATTATTTTCAACATCTGCCCCCTTATCTGGCTTCCCTATTTACCAGTATTGTTCAAAACCTTTTCGAACAACAGAACAGAACCCCTTTCAGAACACATTTCTCTGCAACCACATGTTTACCGTAGGTTAGGTTTCTTCATGTAAGACGTTCAAACTTTTTATGTGTTAATGTAAGATGGACAAATACCTTGTAAAGGCAAAATCTTCTATGATGCTGCACCAAAAATATTCAATGCTTTAAAAAATAGAAGACATTAAAAATGTATTATAATTAAAGAAATGATTTNCCTCAAACTTCCAGTAAATATTAAAATTCTATTTTGAATAGTTTTTTCACAAAATAGATGTTTGCGTTTTTTGATCAGGAATTTGGTACCCCAGGTCACCCTACAATTCCAATACTCCAAAATGTTGAGAAAAAAAAAATTTGTGAAAAAAAGATGAGTTGAATAGTTTCACATAAAGAATATACTCTGAAATTTTCAATAAAATTATAAATGTAAAGTATCCAACCTTGCCTGATTTGCCCAATATATTAAAAAAGAAAAGAAAATACTTAGCTTCTAAACAGAATGTTCATGTATAAATCTTTTCTCTTAAATTATAATAATGAACAATCATAATAGTATTTTTTATTTAGAAAAAAAGAAAAAGCCCTTACCCTTGTAATCTTTTGTTGGCTGCAGCAATTGTCCACATTTCTGCCAGCTAACACAACTCATCAATTTAACCATTAGAAAACCAAAATTTATTTAGTTTTCCTTTGAACTGGATAAGCATCAATAAATCTAATATTAAAACAGAAAAAAAAGAGAGAATTAAGTTAAACGTTTTACCATTGTAAAAAAGGTTGATAAGAACATATTAATAACTTTAGAAAAATAAAAATGCTTAACCTACATGAAAAGTTAGCAAAAACTATTTCACAAAATGAACTATTTAATCTCTTCAAATACTAGCACTTCTATACAGTAAACTACTTCTAGAAATGTGTTAAATAGTATCAAGCTGTTAAATTAGAATGTTAGATTCATTGTATTTTTCAGAGCATAATAGTTGAATGTGACCCTGTTAAACTAAACACATACTCTTCAACTACTATAGAATTTCAGTAGTTTCAGAAAATATTTTTCTTAATTAAGGCAAAAATAATGAACCAGTAATACAACAAATTAAAATTAAAAGAACTTTGGGGGAGACTGCCCAATTGCGATCTGCAGGATAATAATCACCAAATTTTGGCAACATTTGGCCAGTAGCCCATGAAATACTAAAAGAAACATCACAAAAGGGGCTCAACTCAAACATTATACAAGCAATTAATTCTCACTTGGGCCGGATCACGCTATTGGTCGAAAATGACATCACTGTTTGGGGAAGGGATATACTGTGTATTGCATAGTATTTTGGCGACAGATCTTGATTTGGCGACAGATCTTGATTTGGCGACAGATTTTATATTTAGTTTTCAAATGTGCTCTATTTACACGTGGTATTAATGTTGAGTAATAAAGACAATATTCACATTTTGCACAGTTTTGTGGTTAATTTTTTATTAGAATCTAAGTAAGTGAAATTAAGCTATACTGCTTTTACGTCATTAGCAACTGGGGCTGTTCTAGAAATGCAGGGGGGGGGGAGAGTAGCCCAGAATTTTGATCATTACTTCAAACTAAATTTACGTGTTGCTTGATTATGAAGTTTTTAAAATTATTCATAACACAACTAAATTGCGATGCATGAGTAAATTTGAGCTTATGTTTATTTCAATTTTTGTTACTTCATAACTGCAAAAGATAATTCTTATGGAAAAACAAACAAACGAGAAAAAAAAACTTATTTGTAATATTACTATACCATCTTATATTTGTAAAAACATTTTCATTATTTTCATTGCTTTTAGCTTTGACGAATTTAAATCAATTAAAACATAAATATTGTCTGAAATGCTGAAGTGGACATTTACCTATCTCCCCACCCTAACGACGACATAATATTAAGTAAACATTTGCAAGCAATAAATAAATTCCGAGCGAGCAAGGGTGCATACGAAATTTGTCGCCAAACTCATACAAACACCAGCCAACAGCCACCATCTCCCTTCCCCCAAACAGTGATGTCATTTTCGACCAATAGCGTGATCCGGCCCAAGTGAGAATTAAAGCGCTCTTAACATTATACCTTGTAGCCATCCTTAGGGAAACTTCTACAGATTTTTTTTAAATTGCAAGTTTAAATAAAATCAATTTGGTGCTGTTGCAATTGTAGTTGGCGTAACAAATAACGTAAGAGAATAATCCCTGAACTTAGTCTGCAACTTGAAAACAATTTAAATAAATACATAAAAGAGTCAATAGACAAATATTTAAGTTCTTAATTTAAGCTTCTTAAAAGTTTTGTTAAATTTAAAAACTTCTGCTACAGTTAACTACCACTAGAAAAATGATTTTGCAAAAATCGCAAATGTTGGGGGGTATATAAACATAGGAAACTGAAGTTATTACAAAAATGAAACAATACTTCAAACTACATTTTAAGCAGAAATAAAAGCAAGAAGATTTTCGTATTGCAATCTGTGGCAAAATAATCACCTAGCTTTGGCCAGTTCCGGGCAGCGGCCTCTGAGAAACAAAAATGAAACTTCATAGAAGGGGACCAACTGGAAAAATACTCCCAAATAAACATTGAGTTGTTTGCTTAAAAAATTTGTCAATTAAAATCCATTTATCACTTTCATAATCATAGTTGGTGTGACAGATCTTATATGGATATATCCCTAAAGCAAGGATGATAAAAACAAAAAGAAGGAAAGGTTATTGAAAGTTCATCCTAATTTTTTGGGCACAATGCAGGACAAATTTTCCGGAAAATATTAATTCTATCGGTAGTGAACTCTACCAAATATTTTTAAAACAAATCTAATTTTTCTACAATTAGATCATCATGACCATTTCTCAACTTGGCCTTGTATATAACTGTTAAAATTAATTCTATAGATGGATAGAATTCTTTTAATTCTAAAATATTAATTTATTACTTTTTCAACCCTTTAAGTTCAGGGAATTAAATCAAATACTACACAAATTCCGTAGATGTTGGAGGTTTATGGAAGAATTTTAGAAAATGTGAATAAATATTATAGATTGAATAGTGAAATAAACACAATAGTTAACAATATATTCAAAATATTGTAATATAAGTTACAATATTACAAACCTATAAGTTCTCAAATAATGAATAAGAATGTTCTTCAATACAAACATAAGTACATGTCATTGACACAAGTATAAACGCGCGACTATTTATTCGTAATATGCTGTCAATAAACAACGTGGGTTTCCATAACAACCAATACATGTTTCCGCCTGTCTATTTCTACCTAGTTGATTTAGACAACGATTAGAACGGAACCGTTCTCACTGAATGCAATTCACACACCTCCAATCGCTATCGAGAGAGACAGACCCATGTAAAACTAAGCACAGATGGCGCTAGGGGTTAAAACTCATCCTAAAACTTCCCATACACTCCAACCTCCAACTGCTACGGAATTTCCGTAGTTTCAGAAATCTTCTTTTCAGACGGTAGCAAAAGTCATATAAACACTCAAAGGANTAATTTTAGCGTAACTTGTCCACTATTACTTATAAAAGTGCAGGCCATATGGCTAGATTCTTAAGTTCTGATAAAAGTTTTATGAGAGATCCATTTGGCTTAAAAATTTCTACTTTGGTTCGCTACCACTAGAAAGAATTATTTTCAAAATCCTCATAACTTGGAGGGTATGACTTCCGAGTTACTACCGACAGATTTTTACGCTTAAGCTTGAAAATATGCACCATCTAATATTATTATAATTGTAGTGTTTAAAATATAACGCGTTCTTATTTCAATCTAACTCTCAACGAAACAAATGAATCCGGAAGACTTCGCGGGCTTGCTATGATGCTACCCAAAAAATAACAAGCTATTTTACACAAATATAGCGAAATCAAGGATAACACTCTAAACAGGGCAAACCTTACACTTTTTTATGCTATGATATTGATTTTCTTTATTTTTTTAGGCTTACGACCTGTTATAATTTACAAATTGTAGATAACTCTTATAAATGGTGAAATTACGCGTAAATTTGATTTTAAAAAAATGACAAGAATAAAACTTAGAATATTAAGTCTTAAAACACATTAGGACTTTCATAGGTAATCTAACTGAATTCGAAGTGTTCGTTAGTGAAATTTGATGAAAAACAAAGAACAAAAAGTTTATTAAAAACCTTTTTTAACATAAATTGAGAAGATAATAGTTAATTTAAATTCACACTACCTAATAAATTGATGAGCAAAATTTTTTAGTTAATCTTAATATAAAATTTAATATTTGATTTTTTTTAAATCCATTATGATAATAAAACTAAAAAAGTATTTTTTTTTTCTTTTTTTTTTACAAATTTCGGTATTTTCGGTTACCGGGCAAGGAAATTCAACAACTTTTGTTAAACTTTTTTTTTTAAAACGTCCATTTTGTTCAGTATTTAAAATAAATAGATAAAAATAAAATTCAGCTTATACTTCGATTTAAAAAAATTGTGCTAGGTTACTAATTATATTATTAATCAACTAAAGTCTGTTTTATTGTGTGAAGGTGCAGCAAATTCTATAATATGATGCTCAAGATTTACCCGTAAACAAATATTCTGTTACTAAACACACAAAGTCAAATACGTATGTAATACATGCAGATTTAAAATCTATTACTGATGCTATATGGTCAATCCTGATAAAAAAAAAATTATTTCAGCTAAAGGTAAATTTGTAATGCAATAATAAAATTGATAGAGTCATAAATAGCTCTCTAGCCTTGTATTGTTTACATAATTTTGTCTGATTTTGTGATAAAATATTTCTTAGTAAATAAAAACCAAATTTATGCTTACTCTGCACACAAAATTTAACTAAAAATCTCAACTATTTAAAAAAAAAATAATAACATTGTTAACTGATAAAAACCTACTTAATATGAAAAATCTTTCTTTCAATATGAATAACTTTTATGATTAGCACTTTGCATTCTACACTTCCCAATCTCTCTAGAATATTTTTTTTATTTATAATAAATTATAAATTATTTGCAAAACATTGAATTTCTAGATAAAAATTGATATCGAAAAAATTTAAATTTGTCTTGCAAAATTAAATGATCTAATATTGTTAGATTATTTTTACTTTACGTTCTGAAATGTTCGAATTAATTTATTCATAAAATTATGGGATGGAAAGCATAAATTTACTCTTTATATTAGATAATTTATTTTAGAAAAATCAAGGTTTTGAAGAACTAAGATATCTCTCAAATATCCAGATATTTTATATGCAAATCATATCTATTAGAAGCCCCTTAGATATCAATGTTATAGGCTGAATATCTAATGGATATCTGTGACAAGTCAGATATATCTGTCAGATTTCTCTTGGATATACAGCAGATATCAATATCCAGTTATCTACTAGACATCACACAGATGGAACCTCTGGATTTCATGGATATTCAGATATCTTCAGGTCTGCTAGATCTGGAAACATCCATTTTTTTTTTTTTTTTAAATCTAAGAGACATCTCAACGATGTCTAGTTGATATTTGTGGCTGTGTGGGCCGGAGTAAGGGAAAAAGTTGAATTGATGCGTGAAGGTTTTTGAACAAGCACGGGAGTGTGGGAAATAGTGTTGCGAAATGTTTGCTAAAAGTGCGGGAATGTGCGGGAGTGAATAGGGTATTGAAAGTTTTTGCAAAATCTCAAAAAATGTTATCGTAAAGTTTTTTTTTCCAAGGCGATTGAGGTTTCCGAAAATGTTATAAATACTCTATTAAACGAATTAAAAAAATTAATGATTATAAATACCAGAATATCTTTTCATCATTGTGCTTTTGTTTTTAATTATAATTTTAAATTTTTTGTGGTAATTCTAAAATAGAGTGCACTTTTAAATCTTGATGAGAGATCGTACTTAAAACTACGTACACCACTGATTTAAAGCATGTTTAATTCATTTTTAGAAAAAGGTGCGTTATTTTTTCCTAATTTTACTTTTCTGATATTTTTAAGGGTTCTGAAGACATCTATAAATTATTAGTAATTCAAATGGAGTTATAACGTTTTTTTAAGAAATGTTCTAATTACGGTTTTTTTTAAAAATTTGAAGCGGTTTATTAACAAATTCAATTTCTTAACACTGTATAATAATTCCATTTAAGACTAATCAAATATTTTTATGATGGATTAAAATTGCAAGTTCTGTAAATAGAGTAATAAAAGAAATAAATCAATATATAATAATAAATAATAAAACTAGTGCTCAACTGAATGATTTGGCCAATGATGCATATAGGCACCATTTTATTTCTTAAATAAAATATTATTTTTCATTCAATAAACTTTATTTGTGTTTTAATTAATGCAATTTAAGATTTAAGACTATTTCAATTAAAATAGCACATTTTATAACATTTCTATGCTTGGCTTTGCAATTTTGCAGAGAATCAAAATTGCGATGGCATGTCTTTGGATCATCCTCCGGAGTGTTTCCCAGACCGACGCCGATAGCGCATGGTGCAGTTCTGGTGCGACGTCTATAAAAGTACCTGCCTTCTATGCTTGGCCTGAAATAAGTTAATGAAGTTTTGAGTTCTTTATATCAAGACAGAACCTAGCGTACCTCCTAAATCTATTGATGTTGTTGTTAATTTACGTCGCACTAGAGCTGCACAATGGGCTATTGGCGACGGTCTGGGAAACATCCCTGATGATGAGCTTCTCACGAATCCTCACAATTTTGATCCTCTGCGGAGGGGATGGCACCCCCGCTTCGGTAGCCCGACGACCTGCGCGAAGTCGAGCACTTTACACACAGGTAGCACAGTTTAACGAGGACCAATACCGCACACCCTCGGTCCCTACGCAGACTGATCCAAGTGGTCACCCACCCGCACACTGACCGTAGCCAGTGATGCTTGACTTCGCTAATTCTATTGATTATCCGAGCTATAATGGGGTCACTTCTCATGACATCAAAGTCACGTGATGCTTACACTTCGGAGGTAGATATAGCATTTTTATCAGTGCTTCACTTCATTTTTCGATGCTATTTTATTAACTATCATTGTATTTAGGAAACAGATTGTTGAACAGTCAGTGGTAATTACGATATAAGAAAAACGTCATTACAGAATCAATAAAGGTTTTAAATAATATCGTTTGCTAACGTTAGTTATTACTGTTTCTCTAATTAACTTAATGATGCAAAACAAAAGAACAAAAATTGTTATCTATTACTTAAGTGTGATACTTACACTTCGGAGGTATAGATATAGCATTTTTAACAGTGCTTCTTTTCAATTTTCAATGCTATTTTAATAACTATCATTGTATTTAGGAAACAGATTGTTGAACAGTCAGTTTTAATTACGATATAAGAAAAACGGCATTACAGGATAGATTTTTAATAATTTCGTTTGCTAACGTTAGTTATTGATGTTTCCCTAATTAACTTAATGACGCAAAACAAAAGAACAAAAATTGTTATCCATTACTTGATTGCTGTATAATTCTTCATATATTTTTCCAGCATTGTTTTTGTTTGTTATTATTTTTATGCGAATCATAACCACTTGTTAATTTTGAAACATTGAATAGTTTTTTTCTATGAATGATTTTATTGACTGAATGACTGCAATGTTCAGCACATGTTTCGCGCAGATTTTTTTCTTTTTAGATTTCTTAAACGAATGAAATACCAAATAAATTTATTTCTTAAAGTGCAATTTAAATTAAATTATCGTTTTATTTAATCCCATGATCTTCATTGTCAATGTCAATGCTATGTAATTATCTTATATGATAAAAAATATATTTTTATTTTTTGAAAACAATTAAGATAATTTGAAAAATGCTCAAAAATTTAAAACCATCAAACAGTTTGACTGTAAAAAAATAATTTAAAAAGTTGTTGTAAAGGGAAATGTATATAATTTATAAAAGTAACAGTCAGTAACAATTTCTAAGCTACCGCAGTTCATCAAAATCTGGTCTGTGTTAAAGAGAATCATATTAAATATGAAATTTAACACTAAAGCCTTGAGACGAATTTGAATAAAATTAAATTTAATTGATTAGTCTTAAGCAAATTGTTTGAAAATTTTTAATTATTTGTAAATATGTTTGGTAATCAAGATAAATATCATTTTATGATCTGTCAAAATTCATAAAAGGAAATTTATAAAGCAAAAAAAATTTAAATGATTACTTCAATTGTGATCTGTAATGATAAAATCTTCATGAGAAATTTTTTTTAAAATTGCTGATATTTAATTTTTTTTAAATTTAAAATTGTAATGTTTAAGTTAACTAAATTTGCGATCAAAATGCATATTATAAG